CCTTAAGCTGGGGCTCAAGGCTTTCTTTATTTTTTTAATTATCTATGGCATTTTTATAATAGAAAAATGGAAACAAGTGTCCATTAATATGGTATTGGTTACATAAATTATAGCACATCTATGCAGCAGTTAAAATAAAAGAGGAATGTACTTTATGTACTGATATGGAAAGATTGACCAAGATATATCATTAAATAAAAATAGGTAAAAAACAATGAATATTATATGCTACCATTTTTGTAAAAGAGGGGGAAATGGAATGTATGTACACTAAATATACAATACTTGCTCCCATGTAAATGAAATATCACTTGGAAGTATACACATTAATTACAGTGGTTGTCAAGGCTCCTTCATTCTGAATTTTCCAATCTTCATCCCTGCTTCTCTGATACAGAATCCCACCTCTTTGACCCAAGCTTGTCTATTGATGTTTTCTCAAGTGCCCATGAACCTCCTGGTTAATGCACAACTGCTCACTTTGTTTTCTCTGTTTAAAGTGTTCTTACAAGCTCTCCATGGAGTCAAATAAATACAATACACACTTAAAAGATTGGGTTATTTCATCTCTCTTAGGTGACATTTTCTGACCTCATGAACCTTTCCTAACTCAAAGCCTAACACTTACTGGTCTATACCTCTCCCTGGGCATTTTAATTCTATAAGATATGCCACCTTTCACATTACTATTTTGAATTATTATTTTCATGTGTGTATGTCATCTCTTCCAAGTAGACCGCTACCTTTCCGAAGGCAGAAACAAATTATCATCCTTTATTAACACCATAGAGTCTATTAAATAACATTTACATAGTGAAAGAACATTATTCTCATTAATTCCTTGATTCATTCACTTATTTAACTAATATATTTTGACTGCCTACTCTGTGCTAGGCATGTGCTAGGAGGCAAAACAAATATGCTCCCCATCCTTATGAAGTATTTAGACCAATTGGAGAAAAAAATGGTATCTAATGACGTAAGAACTAGATTTAGAGTCAGAAGGCTTTGGGATAAATATTAATAACTCTATCTTTTACTAGGGGTATGATGATTTAAGCTCTCAGTGTCTCAGTGTCCCATCTGGAAAATGGGAATGATAATGCTTGCTCCATCTACTACTCATAGTAAAGAAGATCAAACTACATTTCATTTTATGTGCAAACACTTCTAAATGACAGGGAATGGTGGTTTCAACTTGTCCAAAAATTCTTTGGTATTCTTCTCTTCAAGAGGTGGAGGCTAATTTCCTCCCCATGGATATGAGCTGAACCTAGTGACTTACTTATAATAGACAAAATAAAACAGAAGTAATAGCATGCATTTTTGGAGACTAAGTCACAGAAAGTACCACAGCTATTGTCATAGTCACTCTGTTTCTTGAATTACTTGGTCTAGGGGAAGCTAGTTGCCGTACTGTAAGCAGACCTATCAAGAGGCCCATGTGGTAAGGAACTGACATCTCCTACCAACATACTTGAACTTAGAAACAAACCCTTTAGCTCCAGTCGAGGCTTTAGATGACTGAAGCCCCAGCCAACAGCTTGACTACACCTCATGAAAGAAGCAGGATTTGCACCATTCATCTAAGCTGCTCCTGGATTTCTGATCCCCAGAAACCACGTGAAACAACGTATGTTTTCATAATTGCTAAATTTGTAGGCAATTGTTTAGGCATCCATGGATAACTAATACAAAGGGTACTAGAGAGATTTAAGGTATTATCACAGTTGAATATGCTAATATTTGTTCAATGAAAAATGCCATAGTCCACTAGATTTATTGCGGAATGATGAGTTAACAGTGGAAGAAAAGAAGCTTCAAGAAAAAAAAGTAGAAAAAAAAGAAAAATTATACAACATTAAGAACAAGAAAAAGCCAAATGGACATGAAACTTTTGATGGGTGACTTACAAGCGTTTCTGCTACCTGCTTCATTTTCTGAGAGGCATCAACCTGTGACAGTGACTGCAGGCTGTGCTGCCAAAGGCTACCGGCTAAAGGAATTGTTCATTCCCACGATTGCCTTTGTTTTATTCCATTTTCAGTTCTCACTGTGAGCTAAAATTGATAGTTTTAATTAAACAAGAAATGAGATCCACACTTCTACTCTACATAGCATATAAGCTTTTTGTATTAGAGAAAGTCATCATGGTTCTTTGTTAAACACAAGGGTACAGACATTTGTTTGCGTCAATGCCAGTTTCTGGGGGTCACTGCCATTAGTAACCTTACTAAGGTCATTGCCTTAGTAACCCTGACCCAGGCTGACCTCCATTATTAATGATGCCACACACGGGAGGGCTGAATTCATAGTCCTCACCGGTCGACTTTGTCAAAATTAATTTGAACCAGAACAAATTTAAATTCAAAAAGATCTAACTACCTCTGGCCCAAGGAATCCCTGTTTATAACCAATTTTTTAAACTCCCTACTGAGAACATAGTTGTGGAGAAGGACTGTCAATTTATTAACCTATTTAATAATAAATACAGAATTTAAATTCCTTGCTGAACATTATTGACCCTGATTTCTTCCAGGCCATCAAATGAAGGACTTTGAAAGTTGTCTTAACTCTTCACAGTCATAAGAATAGTATATATGTTTAGGAGTTTCTTTATTGGATGATGAAAATGTTCTGAAATTGTGGTGATGGTTGCACAGCTCTGTGAACATACTAAAAACCACTGGATTGTACATTTTAAGTGGGTGAGTTGCATGATATGTGGATTATACCTCAATAATGCTATTAAAAAACAGAACTTTATTTTAGGCAGAAAATAAAAGGCTAGCTAAGAAACAGGCATGAATCATGCAAGTTTGCTGACCTTTGTTCTTTATTAATCTGCTTAGTTAAAGGATTAATATAGTTTATGGAAAGATGAACAATGCAAAACATTCTTACTTGTAGTAGATACACCGTCGGCTGGAGAAGGTCGGGTGCCAAGCGTAGATTCTGTACCACTCAGCAGAAAGTCTGTTGGGGGATTTACAGAACCTGAAAGGATCAAACAGATATTTATAACAAACAAAATATTGTAATAGAATGATAAGGTATTGACTTAGTTCCTAAATATACTTTATTTATTCATTATATGACAAATAAATATTGAGGGCCTGTTCCGTGCAAGGCAGTGGAATGTAACGGTGAATGAGAAAGACGTGGGACTCTCCTTAAAGAGCCCACAACCTGGAGAGCAGGCAGCCAGGCCCTGCGCTGAGTGTGTGACGTGGAAGTAGGAGGTGCCACCCGCATGCAACGGAAGGGCACTGGTCCAGGTTGGGAGGTCCAGGAAAGCCTCCTGGAGAAAGTGACATTTAACCAAGACCTGGTAAAACCATTATAGCATTTAATATTTTGGAGTATTTGAAAAGTAACCATGCAGTTTACAAAATCCATAAACCCACAACAATTTTGTTAATCAGCAAGAGTAGAAACAATGAAACAACTATCCAATTGGATGTAACATTAACGAACTTAAGATTTATGGTATTATTCTGCTATTTCTAAAATTTCAACTTTTGTTGTAACATTTTTGTTTAGCTACAACTTTTCTGTGGAGGGGGCGGGTATTGAAATAGAGGCTACAATATGTTGTTTTACCTATATTTTAAGTTCCTGTCAATTCCTTAAGCCTCCATGACAGTAGTTTAAAATAGTCCTCTTAGAAGAAACAATTTACAAATGCCAGAAGAATCTACCGACTTTAGGAACATGTGGCTTAAATGTGGTTAGATGATTCTGAGGTTAGAGGATTTTGTGATTTTTTTAGACACAATGTCACTGGATACGGTGTCACATATCTGATGAGCTATGTCAATTATTTGGATATTTAATTACAACTTATATGATCAGTTCTAGTCTGTAATTTACTTTAAGGAACAAGTACATATTATTTAAGTTATGTCACTTGATAGCACATAGCATAGGGGAAGGAATTTGTTTTCCTAAGCGACATGCATCCATGTTTTATTCTCATTGTTGGTAGCAATGTTATTTCTGTTGGCTGTAGGCAGTGCTCACAGCTGGCTGTGACTTGCTATCACATAAGGGCTTTTGTGCTAACAATCTCTGAAATGGTGGGGGACAGTTCTATGGAAAGTGTGTGTACTGGTTAATGAAATGACCATGCTCTTTCCTCACACCACCCCAAATATGTTTGAACTCTTCAGCACGACAGACAAGCCTGATGGTGATTTGGCTTCACTACTCTCCTAACTACATTTCCTGACACTGTTTATTATCTTTTCCATCTCTCTCCAATTGTACCCTCTATCCAGTGTTTCAACCCAGTTTCTCAAACACAAAATGCTCTCTGTGGCTTCTTGGTCTTTTTGTTCATGATGTTGCCTGACGCTTTCTCATCCTTCTCATCCCCAAACTTCCCTGAATGTACCTTCTCAAGTTTGAGAAAGCCTGGAGATCTTTGTGATGTGCTCACCCCTCAGTGTTTACCCTAGAGAAAGCCTTATCACTCTGTTTCATTGGATATGCCCCTCCAGAGAAGGAATGGCTTTATTCTTCACTATATTTGTGAGTCGTGGCAAATGAAAGTGGATGACTCAATACATACAAATTCATTCTTAACACTGGGAGCAACAAGACCAACTTTACGTGTGCATCTGAATGCTGGTGATCATAAGCATTATTTCCAAGGTAGTACCTGAAAAAGATGGAGCATGGGCCTGGTAAATGAATGCCTGCATGTTGTTCTCTGTAGATTGGTTAAAACAGAGATGGGCAAACTATGATCCACAGTCAAATCCTGCCAACTGCCTATGTTTGTGAATAAAGTTTTATTTGGAACGCAGTCATCCCCTCCCCCCCTTTTTTTCCCATATTGTCTATAACTGCTTTTGTGCTCCAGTGACAGTTGAGCAAATAGGGATCACGTAGTCTACAAAGCCTAAAATGTATTTACTATCTGGCCCTTTATAGAAAAAGTTTGCCAACTCCTGGAATAGAAGATGTTGATGGATTATGCTCAAGCCCAGATTTCCATAATGGGAAACTTTTATTTTTCATCAATCGAACTTTTCTGTTTTAAGATACTATTCTGCCATATTTCATCACCAAATTTCTTTGTAAGCTGAGGTTCAGCCTCATAGTGCATTGGGAAGATACTACTACAAGAGTTGCATTTTGAGATGAGCTCTTTGTCCTGTGACAAAGGGGATATATAGCTTTCAACACGAAATCTGAGGCCCCCAAAAAGTCTATCTGGTTTAAAATTGGACTATAAAGTAGAAACTCTGCCTTGGTCAAAACAAAACTCAGGAGACGTAAAAAGAAGTGGTTAAAACCTAAAATGGAAGGATGATTTACGAAAACTCAAATGCGGAATTTAGCAGAAACAGCTCAGTCAGGCTTCAGATCGCTTCATTTACCATGGTGTTATAAGACGATGACCTGCTGCCCAAAGCCACTTCATCTGTTCCCGAATGTGTCCATTCTGGAGTAGGCCTGTCAGGGCTCTCAGAACCACTTTCATGGGCAGCCGCAGCCAGGGGTCTGTCCCATAAAGGCAGCTGGCTCAATTCTGGGGCTTCCTCAGAGCTTGTTTCAGCCCTTATCTGGTCCACCAAGAAATGAACCAAACCCCAGGGCTTGCTTGGTTCTTGCTTCTAAAAATGTGGTCCATAGACCAGTGGTATCTCATTAGAAATGAAGAAACCTGTGCTTCTGTTTTTTTAAATTAAAAAAAAAATTTTTTTTTTTGGCGACAGAGTCTCACTCTGTCATCTGGGCTAGAGTGTAGTGGCATGATCACAGCTCACTGCAACCTCAAACTCCTGGGCTCAAGCAATCCTCCTGCCTCAGCCTTCTGAGTAGCTGGGACTACAGGCATGCACCACTGCACCAGGCTAATCTTTTCTATTTTTAGTAGAGACGGGGGTCTCATTCTTGCTCAGGGTGGTCTTGAACTCCTGAGCTCAAGCAGTCCTCCCACCTTAGCCTCCCAGAGTGCTAGGATTACAGGAATGAGCCACCGCGCCCGGCCTCACCCTTCCATTTTACCATAACCAAGCTGCAAACAAGTAAATCAGGTGGCCCCACTGCAATCTTCTGTACACTAGTGCCAAGACGGCCTGTTCCTATCAAACACTGAAGCCATGAAGAAAATTTTTTTAAAAATTGAACTTTAACACAATGAGGTGCTACCACATTTGCAAACTTCCTGAAGAGTAATGAGGACCTGAGTGCTTTGTTTCTTTTTGGTGGTCATCCCCGTATTACTATTGATAGCTGGCACTTTGACCGCTTCCCTTCCCAACATCAAAAAAGACAAGATGCTCATGTTGCACAGGGACATAAAATCCCAGGACAAGTCCACCCTGGATTCTTCTGCTCTTATGTGGCAGACATACAACAGAATGGATCTTCTATTGAGACTTTTAAATCATTATCAGGCAGTACCACATCTGCACAAAGTGATTGCAGTGTGGAGCAATATTGGGGAGAAGGAACCAGATGAGTTGTGGAATTCTTTAGGGCCTCACCCTGTCCCTGTGATCTTCAAACAACACATGGCAAATGGAATGAGAAATCAACTCCAGGTCTTCCCTGAACTGGAAAACAATGCAGTGTTAATAGCAAATGATGACACACTCATTCGTGCCCAGGACCTTGTTTTTGCTTTCTCAGTTTGGCAGCAATTTCCTGATCAAACTGTAAGATTAGTTCCTAGAAACCGTGTCTCTACTTCATCAGGTATCTACAGTTATGGAGGGTTTGAATTGAAAACATCAGAATTTGGAAATGGTGACCAGGACTCCATGGGGCTGATTGGAGCCTCATTTTCCAATAGCAAATATCTTAAACTCTTTCAGAGGCAACCTGCAGCCATCCATGCTTTGGTAGATAAAACTCAAACCTGTGACGATATTGCCATGAATTTTATTATTGCCAAGCATATTAAGAAGATTTCAGGGATATTTGTGAAACCTGTAAACATGGGAAATTTAAAAACGAAACCAACAGGGGCTATTCTGGAATGTGGCATTGAGCTGAGCACTTTCTGCAGAGGTCTTATGGTATAAGAAACCTTATTAATATCTGCAACAGTACACCCTTAAGCTACTCCAACATTATGATTTCCCACCTTGTTTTTCCATATGCCAAACATGAAAGTAAAATGTAAATCAAACAAAAGCAAATCTGAAAATTGCTTGGTATTTGCATAGCTTCTCCATGCTATGTATTTTTTTAAAAACAACATCATAAACTTTTATCTACTCCGGAAGTCTCTACAATAGGAAAAAAGTACAATGCTTCTAGGATATAAAATTCACATTAACTTCAAAAACCAAGAAGCTGGTCTTATCCAGATAGACCTTCTTATGAAGAGTTTTTACCCAGGGATATAACTCTTCGGTCAGCAATTTTATTGTTTACATTCTCAGACTGTTCTACAATTTCTTTGACTCCTGGCATTTGCCTTAAGGACCTATAGCAAGCTGTTTCTAGGATCAGAAGCTCAAGAGGGGCATTTCTCAGCTTTTTCACTAAAGGAAACGATTGTTTTAATTTGAGGCCTGAAATGCCTCTTTAGCAAAAGCCTGTGGTATAGGGAAAAGCCATGTGAGAATAGTCTCAGTCTCATAAGAAAACAAAAGGAAAATTTGTGGCTACCAGTGCTTCCCTTGTGGCCCTTCCAGCCAACTCTTCCAAGACTAACTCAGCCCAGCATGCGTTCGATGCAACATCAGTACTTTTATTTTTGTCGATAAGTCTCTTGTGATCAGTAGGGTTAATTTTAGAAGCTGAAGGACATCTAGTTTTTGCCTTTTCTTTTTGTGAACATTTACCGCATGGATCACAAAACAATGCAGCATGCGTTTCTCATACGCAACACATATGCAGCAAGGAATAAATGCGTTACTAGATTCAGGGAGTGCATTTTGTCACTGGATCTGACCTTGAGAATGTACATTAATTCTTATATTTTACATAAATTATGCACTGTTTAAGAAACATGTATAAACTAACATCCGAAAGAATAAGTGGGAACTGGCAGGAGTTAAAACCCTTAGTATCGAAAGATCTTTATTGTTAGAGCATAGGTTATCTCATGGATATTAAAAAGTTGTGTGTATTACACACAAAGCCAAACACTTGAATTCAGAACTCTTTTTCCCAAAAAAGACCCAAGGGACTATTCGTTGTGATGACACTTAAATTACATAGATATAGGAAAAAATAAGACCGGAGTCACAGCAGAGGAATTCTACAAGGAGTCTGCATCAGTTTATTGTTAAGGTAGCCCACTCTTGTAATGTGAATTAGTATCTGTGTTACACCCATTGCCTGTGTGTACTCCATAGTCTCTACTGGTGGCAAAGAGTTCTTAATCAGGCCTCCATCTACCACCTTATCTTCCTCCTCCTCCTCTTCCTTCTTCTTACATAACGCCAGCATAGTCTCAAAATTGCAAAACTGTGAGAATGTTAAAATAATCATCGCTAATGTTCCAATAATGAGATCTTTGTGTGTCGTTAGTTTAGTACATGTTGTTTCTTTATATTGGAGTGTGTATGTGTCTTAACGAATTCAGATTAAAAAACAAAAACAAAAGACCTTGGAATCTCACTAAAAATCAATGTCAATTATCTGCTTTGTCTAACTTGACAGTACTTTTTTCCTCTTGGGATTCTCCTAGTAGATATATAAAATAAACTTTTATCATAAAAAGAAGAGAGGAAAAAGAAAGAAGAAAGAAATGCAAATGCAGAATCTCAGGTCCCAATCAGCCTTACTGAATCAGAATTTGCATTTTAACAAGGCCCCTGGGTGATTTATACGTATATTATAGTTCTCTATTGATACTCTCAGGAGTCCCAGGGTAAGTCACAGGTGTGAGGCCTGCTGCGCTGAGGGAAGTCATGAAACAAGAAGTATTTGTCTGGCATCTTCCGCCACAATATTCAGTGGTCCTCCTGCCCCACTGTTGAGAAATCTCTTTGTACTCCTCTCTCCACATCCCAGGATACACATGCATAGTACACACACACAGACAGACACACGCACACACACTCACATAACCTGTCAACACTTAACTCTCTTTCTTTCTATCCCAAAGGTCTTGAATCTCAACAGTTACAGGTGGAAATCCATTTAATAAACAAATCTCTGTCAAGGCTGATGACAGCCAAAAATATTACCCACCCCAGGGAGTATTACACTTAACTTTCAGATAATAACAAAACAAAATGTCTCCCCTCCACTTCCAAAAGTCTCCCAACCCCCCACAAAACCCAACTCTTTGAATATCCCCAAAACAGACTCAGGGGTGCTGCAATTTTAGGCATCCTGACAAGGCTAGCAGAACAGGATATTCTTAGAAAGACTTTTTTTGTTGTTTTATTTTGTAGTTACTGTTGATTCATGAGAATTCTGTAAGCTCTGGTGCTCAAATAGGTGCTTGAAGAGCCACTGATCACCCTCACCCTCACCCCTTCCCCTTTCTGAGTTCTCTAGAACAGGAATCACTGAGCACTTGAACTTCCTGGGGGACCGAGCGTAGGTGGGGAAGGGAGCACCTCAGAGGCTGTTGCCCTGTAGCCTCCAACATTATCACCCTTCTCTGGGAACAAAAAGAAGCGGAACTCCTCCCTTTAACTAAATCTCCATCCTGCTCTGTAACATTCTCAGAATTTTTCTACTCTAGCACTCAGAGACAGCAGATTTTTCTTCTGTGTTTTCCTCTCAGTATCTTGTGAACAATAATAGCTTGTTCACAAGGCAATGACTCTCACGCCATGTCTCAGAAGTTTACCCCGGAGTTTGTAAGCATCCACCAGAAACAGTACTACACGGGCACAGAGCATGTCTGGAAGTACGTGTTTAACACATTGATTGACTGCCACACTAGAAAAGAAAATTTTTTCCTTGGGGTCACCGTGTTTTATTACAAAAATAGAACAAAAATTTTGAAAACAAAATGATCCTTTCTAATTTAATGAAAAATTTAATGAAAGATGACATTTATTGACTTCTATGCATTTAATTCACGTTTTTAAAATTAATTTGTCAATATTAATTGTAACAATAAGAACATCAACAAGTAAGATTTTCGTGAACCAACTGCAGGATTTTGCCCAGGTTTTGCTTTATGAGGCCCCAGGCTCAAAACTAGTGTGAGTTAAATACAACTCATGTGGCAGTTAATGTTAAGAATGTGTAGCAAATAGGGAGATATACAGCGGTGGCTTTACGGAGTCTCAGCTGCATCTTCTAAATCTTTCAGAAGGATGTATATAGGTCAGAGTGGAACTAGAACGTAAGCTGTAATTTTGGGAAACTGAACTCTTCAAGATTCATTCTCTTCAATATTTGATCATAAAGAGTAAAAAGTCATTGGCAATTTAAAATTAACCACCGACTGAGGGCCTAAAATTACACTGCCCTACAAGATTGGAATTACAGTGTGTTTTGGGTGTCAGAATCAGTATTCTTCCTATCACCCTAAAAGTATTTTCTGCTCTTAAAATTAAGCACAGTTTTAATGTCAGAAAATACTGTTTTTTCAGACAGACATGGTTCTGCCTATGATGAGAATAGGAGTCTCTTTTGGAATTTGAGGTTTTTGGATCTTTTATTTTATGTTCTTAGATTCCACCAAAGCTTTTGGCAAATCTATGTGAAAACCAGTTACCTTCACGTTGTTCCAAGACCGCAGCCCTACTCGTGTCCAGCCTTCTAAGAAGGAGGTGTCCTTATTCCTGAGGGAATTAGGCAAAGTTGAATAAGGCTGTTTTAGCATAAGTCCATCCAAGTTCTGAATAATTAATTCCAAGTTAACAAGTTGACGTGTCCACACATGTACATAGACACACAGGTAGGGCTATGGGGATGATACCACTGTCCCACAGTCAGAATGGCACCTGCTTCTGAGCAGCGGAGATGGACTGGTGCTGAGACATACACTCTTCTCTATCCAAGGGTCCCAGTAACAAACTACTGCGTTTGTGAAGGAGCTGGGCAGGACCCAAGATGCAGACTGCATCCTTGGAACAAAGGAAAACTCTTTTCCTTATAAATTATTCTGTGTTTTTATGAGTATGTTATAGACTATAGCATCTCTGAAAATACGATGATGGTTAAAGAAGTTAATGGTCCTATAGAGTTGTAATAATGATTTGGAAATCTGTGAGTTTTACAAGATTAATGTTAAATATGCATATTTGACAGTTGTCATTACAAACTTCTATTTTTTACAGGCATATCTGTTATCACTATATTTATTGAGACATTTGTTCTCATCTTTTATGTAGTAAAATCTCCATTATTGGATTTGATTCAGGGTAGAAAATATTCTGGTTAGTCAAATGTAATAATTATTAATTTTCAAATCACATAAGTCTTGTATGTGCCAGATATTGTGCTTAAACTAGGAGTACTAAAATCATTAAGATACTGTCTCTATTTTTATGGCATTTATATTGTATACATGGCTTATCAATTCTTAAGCACTAAAATTATATATGCTGTATATAATTGAATGTTTTTAATGACTCAGAAGAAATTTTAGGATCTTTCTAATCTTTCTTGATCATTAACATTAGTATTAATTTCCATTATGTAGTAGATTAACAAAAGTGCTAGTTAATTAAGAGTTAGGTTTAATGGAATTCAAACAAAAAATTTGTTGTATTCAACAGAAATCCTTTATGGAAACAGGAATCATCTACTTTACTTTTATTTGAAGAAATTATTTTTAGTGGAGTCTTATTTGTCAAAAATGTTTGATAATTTGAAATTTAATAGTTTTGACTTATGTAGAAAGTTTTTCTGAGATTAAAATATTGTAAAAATAGGCCGGGAGTGGTGGCTCACGCCTGTAATCCTAGCACTCTGGGAGACCGAGGAGGGTGGATCGCTCAAGGTCAGGAGTTCGAGACCAGCCTGAGCAAGAGCAAGACCCCGTCTCTACTAAAAATAGAAAGAAATTATCTGGACAACTAAAAATATATATATAGAAAAAACTAGCTGGGTGTCGTGGCACATGCCCGTAGTCCCAGCTATTTGGGAGGCTGAGACAGGAGGATCGCTTGAGCCCAAGAGTTTGAGGTTGCTGTAAGCTAGGCTGATGCCACAGCACTCTAGCCAGGGCAACAGAGTCAGACTCTGTCTCAAAAAAAAAAAATATATTGTAAAAATAATGAGTATTCTATTTGTTCCAATTAGACATGTTCTGCATTTATGCCAGTCTTAGCCAACCCTTCTTGACCTTATTAAATAGGCAACTTACTCAAGGAAAAAGTGATCTTTTCCGATGAGATATTCCACACTTTATTTCCAGGGACTGGAGACAGAGCCATACACCAAATGGTCAGATTGTTTGATTGGGCTGGATCATTACTATGCACCCTTGTCAAAACAGACTTTAGTTCCAACAATCCGCCTTTGCCTTTTCTCTCTTCATTAGCAATGTATATTCCTATAAGACAGATAAGAACATGACTAGTCAACATTTTCTGTATGAGCCATACAATAATGCAAAGGTATGACATTATCAATTTATAGTAAAGTTCAATGTGGTCAAACTGTATCTTCTCTGTAGTGAGGGTCAATTTTAGCAGATCTGGAATTAACCTGGGCTATTTGCTCAAGCTCCAGCATGGCATTGATCCATGGTCAAGGTATAAAATGCATTGATTAATAGTGTAGCTTTGTTTGTGACCATGGGTTCAGGGATTTGGGGCAGATTGTCCTAGCCCATCAGCATTGTTTATTGATAACTGTGAGATTAATGATTTGCACCTGTTCTGGGTTAGACCCTGGGAGAGCTCTGCTGTGGAGTCTGGTTATATCGCAGGAATGTACCTAAATGACCAGTAAAATATAAAATAACCTCAGTCAAGACTCTATTTTGGACTTCCAACTTCTGAGCTATTCTGTGCATGTATCAGTGGTTCCTGATCTGAGAGAGAAAGTGTGTCTCGCTGTGGCTCTTACAGAGGGAGGACAAAGAAGCCCGAATCTGACTTCTCCCAACTCCTTGCTGTAAGTGTAACATATGGTGTGTATTTAATTGTGTTCCTATGTTGTATCATTTTCCTGAAATAAACTGTATTTTTATAAGTATTATCATTTTGGGTCCTGTGAGTCTTCTTTAGAAATAAAACTCTGCCACTATTAGTACAACCTCCAAATAGCACACGTGGCAGCAGAAAATTAATGTAAAACTATCTTTCAACATAGTTCAGAATTTTCTGGACTCTCACAGTTTCTTTACATTAAAGATTATTAATTCTGGTTCTGAAGTTATTACTTGTCAAAGTAATAGCTAAATTCAGTGGTGTGCTCGTGGAATTCTGACCACATCATCTGGCCTATTGCTTAGGAAAGCATGGGCACATCCAAATCTGGGTGTTTTACCTATGCAAAGCTTATATAACAGAAGAATATATTTATAATAACTTTTAACACATATTTTTAGGATTGCATTCTGTCATTGTTGTGGGTGAACTGTTTTTCAAGCAAACTAATGATGAAACCAATAGTAGTCTCAAAATACATCAAGTGATCAATACAATCGTTCATAAGCATTTATCAATTAAAAGTAATAATGCAGCAAGAGTTGTGTGACTTAGTTATTACTAAAAATGTATTGAGCTTTGAATAATGACGACTCGAGAGGAAGAAGAATGGTTGTTGTCCAGGCAGGAGATGCTGAGATTATTCTGACAGAGGCTGTCATGGTTATTGTCTATGAAAAACATGGCTTTGTGTATTATCACCTGAGCTTTGTCTCAATGTGTGTTTCTGCTCTGGGAACTTTTAATCCTCCTGATGAACATGCTATTTTTCAAGGAGCCAACTCCCTTATATATATTTCCTCCAGTTCCCCCCAATCCCCACCTCAGATCTGCACAAGAAAAAGTAGAAATTATTTATTGACTGATTTAAAGCAGTGGTGCTAAGTTAATTGAACACATTGCATTGAAATAAGAAAGAAATGGAAAAACAGACGACTATGTTACAAAAGCAGAGAATTTTTTAATACATGTATGTTGAATTAACCTTTTTCTGTCCTCGTATATGAGAGTTGCTTTTACTAAAAGTTAAATAAAAGTGTTTGTATGTGGTTTGACAAAGCCAACTGTATTTTTTTCTTTCTGGGAAATGTTACACTCCACCCTCTTGGAGGAGCCAGATGAAGTATCAGAAAATGACAACTGGTAGGCAAGATGATGTTTTTCTTGGAATGAGAATTATTCTTAAATGCCAAGTTCAATTTGGGCAATGACGATTTCTAATGTTATTTGTGAACATTTCTTTCTTTCTTTACTGGACCCATTTCCATTGATTTAGTTTTCTTACCTTCATCTTCATCTTGAAGAAATCTTCCATCTATAAACCATGTAAGATTTGCTTTGGGAAATACATTCTTTAGTGAGCAGGTAAATGTTCTCTGGGGTAAAGACAGGCAGAACAAGGATTATTTGCAAATTCAGAAGAAACTGGTGCTCCTTACATCTCTTCAACATCTACATGAGATAAACTGGCATGAAATTATTTTCTCTACTTTTAACTGGATAACTACAAGGCAGCATCCACCTTTAATATAGATTGCATTAAAATGTGGCCTCCAACTATCACCTATAGAAATATTGTAAATTTATGGCTGGAATAATAGTTCAATTTAAGAATCTAGGACTATACTAATGGTGCAAGTCTGGATTCTGGATTATGGAAGAGAGAAATCATAACTCTGTATAGAATAAAATAATACTAAATGGAAACTAAAGAACAGAATGAAGAAGCTGTAAAGGGAGAGGTCAGAAAGGAATATTCTGTTATTAATAGATTAAAAGTTAAAAGGGATCTACATCTTGATTCTGTTCCTCAAATAATGTAAAATACTATTTGTAGCAACAATCACAGAAACCATTTAATACAAATATCCCACCTTTTACTTGTAAAAAGTTTTCCTAATTTTTAAAAATTTTGCCTTAATCTTATAGAGTAGGTAGGGCATGCCTTAGATTGACATTTGACAGATGGGAAAATGAAAGCACCAACTGGTTAAAGAGAGTGGAAAATAGTTGTTAATGGCACAATTAGAAACTATGTCTCTTCAATCCCAGTCCAAAATATTTCCTGGTAAAACACATTGTACTGAAATAAGAAAGAAATGGAACCATGGGTAGCTATTACAAAAGCAGAAAATTTACGTGTAGGATTAGTTATATTTTATTTTCAACAGTTTGCTCTTTGAGGAATGATATTTTCTTCAATAGCGTGGTGAAAATATCCAATAAGAGTTATTAGATCCCCATTATTTTATCTGAGACCCTGCAAAATTATACCCACTTATAATTACTTGTTTTCTCAACAAGAGATGTACATATTTTACATATGACTGGCCCTAGTTCTTAAATCTTAAGCATTTTCCACAATTGATGAATATACTAGTTAACTAGCGAAGAACAATTAGCTGTATGGGATGCTTTGTGTACCAATCCACAAATTAGTTGCCCCCCAAAAGTATAGAACTTACAGAGCTGAGAAACCAAGCTCAAGAATACTGAGTAACATTTTTCTGATGAGAGCCTACTGAGGCACAGTTTAGCATCCCTCAGTACCTCGCTACAAAAATCCCATGGAAACAAGAAGAATTTCAGAGGAGGCTCTCTGTCACATCCAAAACGGTAAATGGCAAACACAGCAGCTCCTAGCATTTCCACTTGTTCAACACTTGCTTTTTCCAGATAATGGGGAGACATGTATGTGTCAGGGATGTGCCTCTATGAAATTATGTCATTTTCTCCCCTAGAAAATCAAAAGTAAAACCAAGTCCCCTAAAACATATTTTTATTACATTAAGGAAAGTGAATTCAGTTAATTTAATCCAATAGATGCCAAAAATTGATTTTTATCTCCAGTTGGTCCAGGAAGAGATATAAGAGGTATAGGAGGTGAAATGTTAAAAAAAAGAAAAAGAAGTTGTAAAGGTTTGTATTAAATCCAATGCCATTAACCATTTTCATGCTTCATTTCCTCCACGTTCAGTTAACTCACCAAAACATGATGATATGGCAATATCAGGAACAAGTGGGGAGTTCCATTACTTTACAAAGGCAACTGGCTCACTGAAGGAATAGCTCTTATCAGCTCCTAAAAACGCTGAATAGATTTGATTCTTGTGGATACTCTAGACTCAGATTTTCTAGAATGAGTTAGATTTCAAATATTCTATACTATATCTAGACTCTGTGTTCCAAGATTTGGTTTAGGATTATGGTTCTTGCAATAAACCCTTTCTAATGTCTCTAAAACTGAAAAGCCACAGACTAAAATAGTTCAACTTGAGGTCAAACAACTTTTATAGGTTTGGCTGAGTAAGCAGAGCTATCTGTATTTGGGAACTTCCACTTGGCTTAAATGAGGAAGAAGAAAAATATGTTGAATCTGAAAAAATACAAAGTAAATACGTACAAGAGTGTACGTGTACACACATACATGCACACAGACACATTCCTCAGCTAAGATGTCAAAGATGATTCACGCACTCTGTGTGCCTGTTGCATTGAGAGACAAGCCAAATGACTGACTTTTCCAATACATTATTCTGGTACATAAGGAATAAGTGAGCAATAGCATAAAGAATTATGCAGTAAGTGCCAAAAAGTATTTGGACAGTTCTGGAGGAGTACAAGGAAGAGTGAAATCTGGGAATAACTTGGAGAACAGAGTCACATTCTGTGGACAGGGAAGAGATAGGGCCCGGACTCTACAGGTGATCTATGTTGGAAAGTAGTGGGCAATTCATGATGATGGATGGCTGGAACGGGCTCCTGGTCAGAGCACCCTGAGGCTCTGCCATGAGTTGGGATGTTACCCTGGAAGCAGAAAGAAGCCCGTGGACAGTTGAGCCATAATGAGATTCGATAAGTCAGAAAAAAACAATCCAAATCCAACTGTAAGACTGATCATTTCCTTATTTCCACAGACAAAACACTGAAGTGGTGACCATCTGTAAGTTAACCTCTGGTCACCTTGCCTAAGTTTGAACAGAACCTTTTCCGAAGGGCTTTTCATTAGAATCATTCTGAAAACATTTAGCTTTTTAGTTTAGAAATGAGAATCTTAAAAAAAAAGTTTCCATATTTGTTTACCAACTCTGTGTGCCCACTTGGAATCTTTCCTCCGCCTCTTTTTTCTGCTTGAAATTTAACTTTCAGTCTCTACATGTTTTCTGCTATATCACTTCTATCTTTTCTTCTATAATGCAAAGTTTTTTCTTCCATTGGTACCTTCTTTAAAATGTACCTGTCTCCTCTTGGAAGGTTTTCCTTCCCAAATTTAGATATACATACACACGCATATTCACAAACACACCCCCCCACACACACATGTAATAGATGTAATATACATGTAAATATATATTTTTGCTTAAGTTGTGATTATATCTTTATTTGAGAGTAGAAGCCAATAGAATTTCAGCTTTTCCAACTCTAGTTACATAACAGAATAAAAAGCATTTGAAATCTGTTTGTCAATGTGCCATTTAGTTTTAGGGGTTTTATTTTATTGAATCTTCCCTTTCCTACAAGTTCTTTGGTTTTTCTACTGACTGTGTTTGCAGCAGCCATAGCTGTCAAACCAAAAATCAAGACTCATGGTCTGACAATGCGACAAAATCCTTGAAACCGCAGGTGTCCTTGAGACATGTTGTGTAGAGACATATTTCAGCTTTTCCCACCCCTCACCGCCTTAAATCTCTTTCTTTGCTTGAGAGGCCAGATGATCTAGCCATTGAGAAACAGAACTAAGACTTGTAGTTGCTTGACTTACTGTCTTGCTGCATGACTTTGGCCAGAAAGGTCTTTTTTTTTTTGGTGCTGGAGAGGGTGGAGAAAAGGGTTGCATTTGTGTCTAGGAGTTGCAGAAAAACCCGACAGACAGAGACACACCCTCTTGGAAACAAAGCTCTGCTGGAAGTGGGAGGAGACCAGAACTGGAGGTGCCCTCCTCCTAGGGGTAGGAGTCAGCTAACAGCCATCCAAGGTGAGCAGAAACACATTCACTCAGCACGGGGAGAGATCAGAGACAAGTCCAGAGCCTTGCTTGCCTGTAAGTACCCACTTGTGGCTTGAGGGATTTCCTAACTGTTGGGGTTGCCAAGCTTGATGAATAAAGCTCTCATTCATTTAAGAAATGACCCAAGAAAGGAGAGTGAGGTCAGGCTGTTTTTAAAATGCAATATAATTTCCCATCTGTTTATTTATCTTTAAGATGGAGTAAGTAAGCCAAACATCTGGAATAAAGTGTTACTTCCTATTTGAAGGTCCTATTTGCTGTTAGCTTTGCAGGTGATCGTTCTGGGGAAGGTGGAGTAAGGTGAGCCCCTTGCTGAGGACAACCAGGCAACACCATCTGTGGCGGTGTGCTCCACCTCCTCCTCCTCTGTGCATGCCAGCTCCTGCTGAAACAGCTGGGTTTGCTGTTTGGATTTCTTAGAATCCCGGCCTCAGAGACACGCCTTCTAAGGACAAACTGACCTCACATTGGAAACTTTACTATCCAGATCTTGTCAGGCTTCGCCTACTCTGGACTGCTTGTTGCAACAGTTCTTAGGAAGCAGGATTGTCTCCTACATCAACATCTGTCTGTGAGAGCCACTGAGGCCCCCGCCCTGATGGTCCTAAGGAGCCTGAACCCAGTGACTGTTCCTCCTGCCTCCTAAGTGCATTTTATAGGTAACAAGGATCACGGAAACAGTTGAAGTGTCTAGGAGGAGAATCAAGAGAAAACCTAAAATTTTCAGTATTCAAAAATACCTGCTTTGGTGGTTGATGTAGAAAACACTGAGTTCACTAAAGAGCTTCGTAATTGTTGGACCAGGGAACACCTTTGCCACAGGACCTGATGTGTTTTGTCTTTCTGGCCTAGCCAGGGAGGGGTTGGTAAGTATCTGGGGCACGGAGGGAATGCATTTATAGGCCATTTTGCTTGTATCTGACTCACCCCTGACTCTCCAGTGCAGCAGAAAGGAGGAAACATCACACTACCCAGGTGCAGCCAGACCTTGACCATTATTGTGAATCTCCAAGAGTCACCACAATCCCTTCCCAAATACGCATTCAGTCTTGTGGCTCGACTAAAGCTTTTGGTCCACGTCTAGGCACGTCATAAAGAAAGCTGTAGAAGAGGAGACACAATGAGGCGGGAAGAGGAGGAAGAGAAGGGAACCAGGATGAAGGCCAAAGGGGACTTAGAGATGAAGGAGGAGGAAGAGAGCAGTGAGACGGGAGAACTGGTTGGCCCTTTGGCGAGCGCCATGCCCACCCCGATGTCCCACAACAAGGGGACTCGGTTTTCTGAGGCATGGGAGTATTTCCACCTGGCCCCCGCTCGTGCAGGGCACCACCCCAACCAGTATGCCACCTGCCGCCTATGTGGCAGGCAGGTGAGCCGCGGCCCTGGGGTCAACGTGGGCACCACGGCCCTGTGGAAGCATCTGAAAAGCATGCACAGAGAGGAGCTGGAGAAGAGTGGCCATGGTCAGACGGGGCTGCGCCAGGACCCCAGGCCCCACGGGCCCCCACCGCCTGTGGGCATTGAGGGTGACTGGGGCAGGCTCCTGGAGCAGGTGGGCGCCCTGGCTCTGTGGGCCAGCCAGCGGGAAAAGGAGGTGCTCAGGAGGGAGAGGGCTGTGGAATGGAGGGAGAGGGCAGTGGAAAGGCGAGAGCAGGCCCTGGAGGAGGTGGAAAGGGCCATCCTGGAGATGAAGTGGAAGGCGAAGGCTGAGAAGGAGGCGTGTCGGCGGGAGGAGGACCTGCCTGCAGCCGCGCATCCCTTCCATTTCGTTTAAATCAGGACTGGGGGAAAAATCATTCTGAGAATACCGAGTTTAAGCTCATAGCAAAGAGCCATTTTAGTTCCAGCTCAACTGTAAGGCAAAGTAGTTTAGTGACATTTTGTTTATATGCAAAAGAGTGTCTGAGTTAATCTCAGCAGGTCTGAATGGAACAAATGCTCATATATGGGTTCTTAGAGCTGTGCTAACCCTTGGCCAAAAATTTAAAGTGTACCGACTAAAGATAAATGCTGTTCTGCCACCATGGGTCTGTGACTTGTTTCAGGGCAGAATGTACCAGCCTGTGAGCATTGTTTAGTAAAAATAATTGGATTTATGCCTCGCACTTGGTTTTGGTGGAGCTGAAGGTTTTGACGGCTGAGGCTAATCAGGCAGATGGAATGTGCCCAGGTGACCAGCTCACTCTCAGAGACCCCGCCACAAGCAGAGCTTAGCTTGCTGGGACTGAGGTGTTTGCACGTGTACTGATGGTGCCTCGGGACCTGGACACAGAGCTTGTTCTGTGTGATCCAGCAGTGGAAGGGCAAAGAAGCTTGAACCTGAGATCTCCGGACCCTTCCAATGCACATCTTTCTCCTGCTGTTGCATTGTTGTATCATCTGCTTGTATTAAAGCTGATTCATCAGTATAAGCTGTCTGAGTCCTGTGAGCCTTTTCAACAATCTAACACTTAAACTAATTAATTTGGAATTAGCACAGAGAAAATTAAAGACTCTTCGACTCACTTGGTTTAAATATTAAGAATAGAGACTATAAAAATCTCTGATATTTAAAATTATAATCTAATTTCATATTAAGGTCTGTTAAAGAAGAAGGACTTAGGAAGAGATGAAAGAAACTCCAAAAGAAAAAGGAAACAGAGAGATGGGGTTAGTAAGGAGAAATAAATAACAAAGGAAGGAAAACAAAAAAGAGAGAAAAGGGATAGAGAAGAAATGTGAAGATGGGGAAGAGAGAAACAGTGTTCTAGGAAAAATTCACCCAGGAAACAGAAAATGACTTTCTGAGTGAGTGAAGGACAGAGAATATTTTCTTAGATCTTGAAGTCAATTTTAATGAGTTGAGTTGATTTTGTTTTGTGCCCACAGACCAGTCATTCATTTGAGCAGTAGGTTTTAGATTTTATTTGTAGTATTTTATCTGAAATGCTAACTGCGTGCCAATCCATTGTTCTCTGTGTCAGTTTTTAAACTGTTCATCTTTAAACGTTCAGAGACACTATGAAAATAGGGCACCTAACAGCCCATAAGGAGAGAAAAGTTTCCTGGGCTGCTGAGGATATGCCTAAAATGTTAACTTAGGAATAGAATAAAATCAAACTGGAAACCATCCTGGCCTTTGGACTGGAGCTGCCATTTGTTTTGGAAGATTCCTGTAGAACCCCTCCCCACATCCCTGATTTTTTTTTTTTTTTTTTTTAGCTGAGTTGGGAGAGGGGATGGGATGAGGAGAGCTATTGAAGGGAACAGGAGATAAAGACAGTCTCCCATGATCCCACAGATGACCCAAGTAATTTATGGGCGCCGACCTCCCTGAAGGCAGAGGAGATCCTGGTGTAACAATGGCATCTTGCCTCTTGGCTCACTCCTACTGCTTCTTAGACTTGCAAGGCAGCCCTAACAGCCAGACCTGTCTTCCCCGTGAGCTGTTTCTGAAACAAATGGAAGTCCAAACAGCAGGCTTACGAAACTCCCAGGCTATACTGCAGTCCTGTCATGTTCTTTTTTTCTAGAAACCTGCCTGATAGCGAAGATTTCAGTTGCCATGTGGTTTCCCCCCAGGCTGTGGTGCCCCTCACAGGGCCTCTCCATCTGTGGTGCAAACTCAGGGGCTCACCAGTGCAGACGGAGATGGCTGCTGGGAGCCCCATGCCTGGACATT